ATATATATATTTATATATATATATATACACATATATATATATATGTATATATATATATATGTATATATTTATATATATATAGAGATATATATATATTATCGGTGCTACGGGCTCGTGCTTCGATCTCAAGCCTTCGTAGATTGATTTAGGACTGCTGTGTAGTTCACATAATGATGATCACGTACATATATTCACACGACACCTCCGTTGCACGCAAAGATGCCAGCTCTCTGTCTTTCGTGATGCATATATAACGATCATTTGGTATTAGTACACTTTCATCATAAATTACAATTAGTAGCACTTTGCAGTCTATACCTAATTCACAAAACAAAATATATCTAAAATAATCAGGTTTTGAAAAATCAATTTTCTTGTGATCATAGACGTAAGTCAGTATAATACGTATTTACGTTTAAATTCAATGCGTAAACGTCAAAACGGAGTACGTCAACGCTGTATATGGGCTACGTTATGAGCCCTGGCTGCAAGTATGTGCATCAAAAAATCATATTTATTGACGTCGTTGCTCTCTTTCTTCCTTCTTTTATTTTTACAAAATCTTAAAAATTGATGCCGGAGCGCGGCAGGTATCGATTTGACCAATGAAATCAATATTTCTAAAAATAAATATAAACCAGAAAGTCAATGGGACAATGACTGGTCAGTCGAGTTGCGCGAGTTTGGACTTCGGAGTTTGGTGTTTGCCATGCATAGCTCTATGTATATTTGTTATTTGTCTTTTTACAATAAAACAAACAAATAAAATTTAAAATTTATGACGTAACGGTAAAGATATACATGCATAAATTATTTACGTACTTACATACAACCATATTTACATTACGATATTACGTAGAAATAACCCGGTTGTGATGGGGGTTTCCCACATATTCTACTGTAATGCCATATAAGTATGCGCTAATCACTATGTGTCTAAACAGGAGACACATCTACATTCTACAATACATTAACATGTGTACAGATATGCAAACAATATACATCTCAATCTGACTCGTACACAGTGTTCCTGTGTATGTGTTAGTATGAGATTGTGAATATATATCAAAAGCCCGCATCAGAGAAATAGACAGGCTTTTAATAAGTATACACAATGTAAACACCGAACCAACGTGTACATGACACACAATATATATATATATATATATATATATATATATATATATATATATATATATATATATTATATATATATATATATATTATATATATATATTATATATGTGTGTGTATAAATGTATATATATATATCTATTATATATTTATATTTATATTTATATTTATATATATACATGATGTATATATGGATGTATGTATGTATGTATGTATATGTATTTATATGTAAATATAAGTATTTGTACGTATTATGTATGAATTTGTGTATATGTATGTATGTGTGTATGTATATATATATATTTGTACGTATGTTTGTATGTATGTATGTATACATATGTATGTATTTATGCATATGTTTGTATGGGTAAGTATGAATGTATATATTTGTATGTATGTAGGTATGTATATGTATGTATAAATATTTATGTATGTAGGTATGTATATGTATGTATAAATATTTATATATGTATGTATATATATATGCATGTATGTATGAATGATTGAGTATGTATATATTTTTATATGTGTTTTGTAACAATGTATGTATATATATATATATGTATGTATATATTTACATATGTATATGTGTATACATGTATATGTGTAAATATGTATATATATATATGTATATGTATGTGTAAATTTCTATATATGCATATATGTTTGTATGTACGAGTGTATGTATGCATGTATGTATGTATGTATAAATCTATATATGCATATTTGTAAATATGTTTACATGTATTAATGTATATTTGAATGTATATTAGTATATATGTATATGTATGTATGTATGTATGTATGTGTGTATTACTGTATGTTTATGTATGTATGTATGTAAATATGTGTGCATTTTTATGTATATATATATATATATATATATATTTGTGGTTGTGTATGTATGTATATATATATATATA